ATTTTATTGTTTTTTGCTTTTTTGTCTTTTTGAGACAGGGTCTCGCTATGCAGTTCAGGCTGGCCTTGAGCTCACTTTGTAGCCCAGGCTGGTCTCGAATTCGCAATGATCCTCCTGCCTCAGCCTCCCGAGTGCTGGGATTACAGGTGTGCACCACCACGCCAGGCTCTTGCCTAGCTTTTAAAAACTATAAATTAAAATAAGAACTAGTATTATATGTATGGACACAGGTCTATGTGCATCTGGGAAAAGCCTGTTTCGACAGCCCCAGGACATGGCCTGTGTTAGGCCATGTTTCACTGCTACAAGAAGATACCGGCATTTACAAACGAGAGAAGATCATTGGGTCTACAGGAAGGGTGGGTGCAGGTGCATGGCCCTGGCCCCTGGCTGCTTCTCAATATGGCAGCAAAACACAGGGCACAGGGAGCACAGAGAAGAGATTGTGCAGTGGGACAGGAGGCTACAGAGACTCCAGGCAGGCTGGCCAGGATGCATGTGTGCATGTGTGTGTGTGTGTGTGTGCACACATGTTGTGGTGCTGCGATGGAACCCAAGTCCTCTTGCACGTTAAGCAGGTGCTCTGCCACTGAGCTGCAGCCCAGCCCAGAGACTGGAACCCTTCCCAGTCCCCACTGAACCCCACCTCTTAAAGAAGCCACCACCTCAACAGTGTCCCGAAGACTAAGCTTCCTGTATGTACATGGAAAAAAGCCGTATCTGCTGTTTCCACTTTATAATTAATTCATGTGCCTGGTTCCCCTTAAGGCTCCTGTCTCTCCCTCTGTGTGTCTCTCTCTCTTTTCTTTTGTGGTCATGGGGAATGAACCCAGAGCCTTTGCACTGAGCTACTTCCCCACCCCATCTCCACCCCCCCTTTTTTATTTTGAGACAAAGTCTCACTACATTGGCCAGGCTGCTAAGCTTGAATTTGCGATGCTCCTGCCTCAGCCTCCCAGAGTGCTGGGATGATAGTCATGTACCTCCATACGGGTGAAAGTTTGTGCTCTTAACTTCTGGGTCGCCCTGTTCCCTGGCCATCACTTCGCAGGACCCTTTCATCTCCACTTACCTGCATCAGCTGGCCAGAATCAGGAAAGCAAGAGCCCGGACAAGGGCAGCTCTGAGAAGCAGGCTGCCTGCAGGGCCGGTCAGAAGGTTTCTTGCTAAGACTTGAGGGGCAGGGAGGCTGTAGATATATA